AGCTCCTCTGTTTCCCTCAGCTCCACTGGTTTCCCTCAGCTCCTCTGGGTTTCAGGTTCGAGACCTTTTCTCCAAACAACTTGCTGTGCAGAGAAGCTGTGGGGTCAGATCCACCGTTCCTTTTTCCTCTTTCTGTTACTCAGAATTGCTTCATCAAACACACAAGAGATAATCTCATCCATTAAGATCTGAAAACCCCGACGTGATGGATTTCTTTCAAGTCTGGGAGGCCGAGAGACAGACTGGCATCAAAATGTAAGAGAATGGGTGAAAGACAGAAAGACAATGAGGAAGAACAGCAGTAAAAGAAACAAATGACAGGATGAAGAGGACCGAAGACAGAGGTGTAAGATAGACAGACAGACACATGAAGACCAGTTAGCCCTACTATCTACCCTGCTGGGACCTGCCTCAGACTCACAAAGATGAGTTAGGCCCACCAACCTTGCCTCAGCAGAACCTTTGATAGACTCTGCCATCGTTTCAGTAAAAACCAGCTGGAAGAAAAAAAACTGCTCTGGAAACAGAAATGTAAAGAGAACTGAACCAGTTTAAGTTCTGAAGACGATCATCATCCTCTCTTTGATTCTGTGACCATCATGACTCAGAGTCAGAAACAGGTGAGGCAGAACCTCAGAGTCAGACTCCGGATCAAACAGGTGAGGCAGAACCTCAGAGTCAGACTCTGGATCAAACAGGTGAGGCAGAACCTCAGAGTCAGACTCCGGATCAAACAGGTGAGGCAGAACCTCAGAGTCAGACTCCGGATCAAACAGGTGAGGCAGAACCTCAGAGCCAGACTCCGGATCAAACAGGTGAGGCAGAACACTAAATGATGTCTGAGGGACCTTATTGGCTTAAAGGTCGTGGGTTGTCTCTGGTCTCTGAGGGGGTCTCTTGTCTGAGCGGGTCTCCGGGAACCAGGAGAGGATTAAAACAGCAGTGAGATGAAACTGTTTACTGAAGCAACAGTCAGAAACGCATTTGTGTTAAATTTCTCTATGACGTATTCAAATACAATGTGGTCAGATCTACGTATATAAAGGATGTGTGCGATAGTCACCATGGCAACCTCCACAGCATCACTGGTGGAGAAGGACAGGTCACAGAGGATGAGCAACGTTTGCTCCCTGGCCAGAGTCCGAGTCACAGGAAGGAACCTCAACTCTGAGCAGATGTTCTCTACAGTGGTGCCCTACCACACACACGCACGCACACACACACACACACACACACACACACACACATAGACAAAGAGGGAGAGAGAGAGAGATTAAAGTCTGAGAGTGAGTTGTTTGTCTCGTTTGTCTCTATGTGTCTCTGTGATGGACTGGAGACCTGTGCAGGGTGTACCCCATCTCTCACACAGTGATGGTTGGATATGGGCAGCAGTGACCCCCACGACCCAACGAGGACGAAGCGGGTAAAGATAATAAATGGATGGAAGCACAAACACGTCCAGGACATAAACTCTTATTTACCTGTGGCACTTTGTCCTTTTGGAAGATGAGTGTGATGTGAGCGCAGCTGTTGTCAAGGTAACCACTGTTGGGTTCACACCGAGTGTGCAGCGAAGTCAGGGGGTCTGGTGTCGAACAAACACCCCACTGATGACAAGGCTGCGAGAAGCAGGTGAGGAACGGATGCTCAACACATTCGTGGTTCCCAGGACAGGATGGGTGGTTCGCCTCAGAGGGTGGAAGAGCCTTTTGGAGGATGCAGGGTCGACGACCACACCTCACCTGGAAGATCACGGAGTCCTTGAGTCAAGCTCTTCTGTCTCAGAGGACTAAAACTCCTCCGTCATTTCTCCTAATTCATCTGTAGATGTTAAAACCTGAACCAAAGAGTGATCTGGTGAACCTTTGAACAGTTGATCTCTCCGTTGGAGCACTGGCAGGTGTTGCACTCCTCGTCCCACCGACTGGTGTGAGGAAACTGCAGGCCGCCGTGGCGACATGGCTTCCCAAGTCCAATGACTGGAGAGAGGGAAAATATTGAAACGGAGGGATTAACTTCCTAATTTGTCTAAACCCCAATAAAATAAGAAAATGTACAAATAGACACATTTAACATTTTTAAATCTAAATCAGTAATATAGTACTGTTCTTCAAATTGTAATCTTTTCATACACCTGAAGTAAACATCCTGTTTATCTTTGCTCTCATCCAGGCAGCTGCTGTGCTGTTAATGAAACAGTTTAAATATTTTAATATTGTCACAAGTAACCATAGGCACACCAATAAACTCGACAGACAGTAAAGTTAATATAGATAAATAAAGAAGGACTTTGGAAAAGAGGGACTCTGTTGGTTGGGTCTGCTAATCATTGGTACTAGAAAAGGGAAATCAAGTCCCAGACTGGACTTGATTTGGATGATGAACTACTGACCCAAGCTGGGGCAGAGGAAGGAACACTTTGAAGATCCTCATCCAGTCACCATGCACCATGCACTCCAACAGCAGTTCAGAGTATCCGGCCTTCTTGTAGTACTTGGAGGATGTGCTGGAAGGTGCTCCAGCTGGGGACTCTATTCTGCTGGGGGACTTCAATGCCCACGTGGCATCTGGAGGGGCGTGATTGGGAGGAACAGCCTCTCTGATCTGAACCTGAGCATTGTTCGGACTTCTGTGCTAGTCAGGGTTTGTCCCATCATGAACACCATGTTTGAACAAAATGGTGTCCATTAGTGCACTTGGCACCAGGACGCCCTAGGTCGTAGATCGATGATTGGATTTGTAGTCTTGTTATCTGATTTCCGGACATTTGCTTTGGACACTTAGGTGAAGAGAGAAGCTGAGCTGTCAACTGATCACCACCTGGTAGTGGGTTGGATCAAATGGTAGTGGAAGATAATGGAGATACCCGGTAGACCCAAACTGTAGTGAGGGTTTGCTGAGAATGCCTGGCAGAAGAACCCCGTCAGATGGATGAATGGATGGATGGATGGATGGATGGATGCTGATGTAAAAAGGATAAAACTACGAGTATACAGACGGTTTGGACTTACACTCCTGACAGTGAGTTCCAGCCTGTCCTGGAGGACATAAACATCTGAAACCATTGATCTCATCGATGCAAGATGAACCTTCGGCACAAGGAGAGGACTGGCACTCATCTACGTCTGAGGAGACAGAAACATCAGAGCGCTTTAAGGTTTTTCAAACACACGTCTAACAAGGTCCTGTGATAGACCAGTGTCCTGTCCTGGTCTGCCCTGTCTCTGATCCACTAACCACTAGAGTCCAGAACCAGTTACCCACTACAAAAACCCAGCTGTTTTCACTGAAGTAATAAAAGAGCAGGTGATGAAGCGAAGTTCTCATTTAGTGTTTGTTCTCGTTTTCAACACCAGGTTCGTCTTTTTCTCCTCCAAGTTTATTCTGAAGCCAAATTTAGAGTAAGATTAACGTTTTATTCATCCCTCTCTGTGTCATGCCATGCCAATAATACATTATTTTCTCAGAAACGGAGACGGAGTGCTCTGACAGACCTCACTCTGCTCAGCATCGAGGGAGGAGGTGAACCCGTTCCCCTAAAAACCTCCTAATCTGTGACTCTGAGACAACTGGCTCACCCTGCTCGTCCCTGACCTTTGACCCCTGACCTTCCGCCCATCACGAGACTCCTCGGGTTCTCAGGGACTTACTGATGCGGCAGTCCGGACCGGCAAATCCTGGGGCGCACTCGCAACGGAACCAGTTCACGCCGTCCACACAGACGCCTCCGTTGTAGCTGCAAAGAGAAGGAAACACCAAAGGAACAAACTCATTTATTGTTTTTACACCAGGAGAAGCTTTAGCCTGTCATGCTGCAGGAACACACCCACTGAACCACCGAACCACCAGGGAAGCTGCTGTAAACCTTCTGAAGAGGTCTGGGTCTGACCTTGACCGTTACACATAAAATTAAAAACAGGATTTGTTTGGAACAGAATCAAAAATCGTCAGAAGGAAAGTTTTTAAATAAACGAATAAATAAAACAAAGAAAAACTGATTTTCTGATCCTTCTGCCAGGAGGTGGGGGAGGGGCGCTGTTTTCAAGCTTCAACAGCCTGAATGTAGTAAAGTCCTGCTTAAAGTACCCATCCATCCTTCATCCAACCATCCATCATTCATCCATCTATCCTTCAACCATCCATCATTCATCCTTCATCCAACCATCTATCATC